GCACGTGGTGAGTCACCAACCAATGTAGCAAAAACTCCCAGCCATGAAGACCATGTGTCTCACTATTTATAATGTGCCATTATTGCTCAAGACATGCTTTTTATTAGTGTTGCATCGGCAATATCATAATCTGTAAACAATATTTCACATTTTTAAAGATATCCTGTTTTATTCTTTTTCTTAATTATTTGTTTTTATTTTTGCGTCTATTGATATTTATATATATATATCTTACAGGAAACTCTGCAGATATTTCACTTTCATTCAGATCATATGTTACAGAAGGTTTGACAGTCATAGCTTGGAGAATGCCAACCAGACACGTTTTATGTGACTGTTACAAGTACAGAGCAGTGTTTACATTCCAGTGTGGGTATTCATTGTCAGGTTGAATGCATCTCTGACAGATTTGGGAAAATTTCCACTTGGGAGTTGGTGATATGTGTACGAGAAGAGGGGTGAAAACCCAACCCTGTGACGGGAGAGCGTATAGTGCCTCTCACAGCCTGCACCTTTAAGGTGACTGGATTCCTAGATCTGTACGAAGATTAGGTGCGTCAAAGGTGACTCAGGGACTGTGTCTGGGTGACAAAAGAGTGTGGATGGATAAACGGCACAGTAACATCTGCTAGTTGTGATACAGTTGGTATAACAGACTGTGGGACAAGTGCGAGGCACCTGGGCGCATTGAACATTTGGAATTAACTAGGGCTAAATAAATAGCAATTCTAATATAAAAAAGTGGCAACATACTTCAGTCATTAACATACTTTTATGAAACATATTGTTGGTTATGGCTCTGATTTAAGTCTCTTAAGCCTTAAAGGAATATTTCACCCAAAAAAGAAAAAAATTGCTGTTATTTTACTCTTCCTCAGGCCATCTAAGATGTACTGTAGGTGACTTTCTTTCTTCAACAGAACACTAAAGATGATTTTAGATGAACCTTTAGATGATTCATAAAATGCAAGTCAATGGTTGCCATCACTTTTTTGAGAGTCAAAAAAATTGAAACGGGTAACACAAAATGAATACCCGTGGCTCACGGTTCTAAGCGGAACGATCAGTCTGTGCAAAACACTTGAACATTATTTACATCAATATTACCAGGCAAACAAGAGTCTGGAACTCAAGCTTTCTATCGCATGATGTCTGTCCATTAGTGTTCTACTGAAACAAAGTTATCTACATTTTAGCCTGAGGGCGAGTAAATTAAAAGGACATTTTTATTCTTTGCCAAACTATTCCTTTAAGTATAGCAAAACACAGTAGGTAAACTGTATTCAATGTGCTATTAAAAATTTTGATTAGAGCCATTTGTTCAGGAATCGGACTAGACTTTTCTAGCACATTCAATGTTGTCTGATTTCCGTACAAATGACACTGTACGTATGTTCTGCACTATTGATTTATTAATGGTATTGCTGCACCACTGAATAAACAGTGCAAGAATTCCATCCGCATTGGCGGAAGAATGCGAGAATCATTATCAGAATGGGCTCAACTGGTCAAATCTTGACCTCTTGGTGTTTACATTGACACAGAGCAGCATATTGGTGGGTGGTGATGGTGCAGTGGATAAGTCACATGCCTTTGGTGTGAGATTCAGGTTTGAATCCACTTTCGAATTAAGAGCAAGACACTTAACCCCAAGTTGCTCCAGAGGCGTGCGACCTCTGACAAGTCGCGTCAGCTAAATGAATAAATGTAAATGTATATTGGAGCAAACTATGAGTGTTGTAGAGAAATCACCGGAAGAAAGACAGACAAAAGGGTTTAAAACAGGTGGCTCAGAGCAAGACACTAAGCGTCTATGAAGGACAATAAGGCTTGCGAGAGGAAGAGAGGGGAAAGGTAAATAAACAGTACAAGCGAGCCGATAGCACACTGAGCAGTGGGTCGCATCTCTTGGGGCCCAGGCTGTGAGGATCTGATTTCATCCAGTCATTCTCCCCAGTCTGGGAGGAAACCACCATCTTACTGGATCACAGATGCACCTGGAGTCCCCTGCAGGAAACCAGCAGTGACTTCCTTTGATTCAAAGTTAACCCCAAACAACCCCCATGTGTTGTTTGAACTGAAATGTGGCACATGTAGCAGTAGAACACAAAAAGTCTGAATCCTGATAAAATATTTTCACACAGCGAGTTTGTGCTATATATATAAAATGGTCCCATAGGCAAAACACTAACTCATGATGAAAGACAGAGAAGACAGTAAATGCAGTGTACTGGCATGTGCTATTCTTTCAAGACATTTAAATTCACAATGTTTCCTCTGCAACTCTTATTAGAGATGAATTAAAGGGTTCATTGTCTCTGGATTTGAGTTATCTTGCATGTTTGGATACAGAGCTGCTCTATTGACAAACAGATGTTCAAGTCCAATGGATTTGCATGTGGATGGTCTGATAAATCTTTATGGCTTGGACACACTCTTTTGTAGGCTGTTAACTCTTGTGAATGGACAACTACATTCAGTGTTTGTAGTGACCAAGCAAGTGGTAGGCTTTGAATAGCATAGTATACCACACAACTCTTTCTAAGGCTGCTGAATATAGTAGCCTATGTATACAGTAAGCACAGTATGACATTTTTTTATACTACATTATTGCCAAGTAAGCGGTATTCAATGGAGCTTACTATATAGAATAGTGCATCTCAAAATGCATTGCACTCAGTCCTATCCCTGATGAACAACAGCCCATGCATAAGGAAGTGTTTCCAAAGAATGTGGCCATGATCAAGACTGCAGTCACATCAGTGAAAAAACAACAAATAAATGCATTTTCAATCTCCTTCAGTTTCTGATAAGTCTGAATATTCCAGACACTATTCAAGAAATTCACTTCTGAGATGACATCACATTTTATTGACTTTTTGGACTTTATGGACCTTACATACTACCAAAGGGTGTAGGGATTTCGGAACCACAAAGAAAAAAAAAACTCACCATAAAAATAACAAGACCGAATTCTGTTGGCGCAGCAGGACAGAAACCACGGTTCTTATAAGAGTAAGCCCTGTTGTGGTTAGCACAAATAAAATAAGGCCCAATTTACTAATTTTGATTTCTTTGATGGACATGATGAGTTATCCACAAGCCACTTTTGATGGAGCAGTTTTTCCATGTATAAAATATGGTAAACAGGGAGAAGTCGTAGTCAATCAACTTTAAAATATGTAATAACATGTGTGTCTATTTGTGTTATTACATAAAGGTGATTTACTGCGACTTCTCATCTCTAAAAAACAGCTCTAAAACTCACCAATTTAATATATATATATATATATATTAACAGGTCCCAATGTTGGTAAAAGCGATACATTTTTTATATAAACCACGATACCCTTTTTTCAGGATTCTTTGATGAATAGAAAAGTCAAAAGAACAGCATTTATTTAAAAAAACATTTTTGTGTGTGTGACAACACAAACATCTTTAGAGTCAGAATTGATTACATAATACGCTTGTGGCATATTAATGAAAGGGATGGAACTTAATTTCTAAAGGGATGATTTTGTTACTCCATAAGTGCCTCTGAGCTCCCCCTCTTGGAATAATGAATGGGAATGGAATGGCAGAGGGCTGGCGGCAGACACTATGGGAATCTGGCTCTGAGGTAAGCAGTTTCAAAGGCTTCTTAATGCACCAAAACGCACAGTGATGCACCTCAAAGATCTCTAGTCTACTTTTTTCTCACACACACAAACATTCATGTCAGCACATGCCATGTTGCACTTCAAGTGTGTCCTCTCTTTAAGACACACTTTAAAAGTTAAAAACTCAAATGACCTACAAGGTCTACTACAGGATGCCAGTCACAGCAGCAGGGCTCAAAAGAAAGAGGAAATGAGTAGAGAACCCAGATTTGTTCTTCCTGCTAATTTTCATTACCTATTCAGTGCAGTTTTTGCCCTGCTGTCTGTCTCGTCAAGACCTTTCCAGAGTCATAAAGCATTGCTTAAACGAAAAATCAAAGGAGTTTAGTCATCGCTGGATCTGATATAACAAGAGGGGACCCACCTATTGATAGATAAAATATTTCCACTCACCTTTTTTCAATTACTCAAGGTGTGTCTTTATGAATCACATCATTTACTGATATGTGTAACCCATTTCCTGTTTCATGTTTAACTCAAGGGTATACTTTCTATAAACACTGCACAGATTATGAAATACTATAAATATTATCAATCTGACTGGGTGTATATATTATTACCTCACCGAACAGGGCAAAAAAGTGAGCTGTAACTTGCAAGAGACCTTATGAGCAGTTACTCAGACTGTTCACTGGAATGCAACATGTTCTGGGATGAGGTGTGTTCAAAGATGAGCGATCAAGTTCCAACCTGGATCTGCTTTTGACAAAACTCAGGAATATGTCAGGTCCCCCCACAGCATGCATGCATGCCTGTTTTTCTAATGGTTATCCGCATGCATATATTTAATGCCAATGAAGACATGAGGTTTGGCTGTCAGAAAACTTCATAACTGTCATGTTGTGACACGTGTCCCAGATTCCTCTGAGAATTACAAGTGTGTAGAGTAGAGTACAAAAATTTCACCACGGGCATGTCATTAAACTGACTTTAGGGAGAGTTAAAGATGACATTGAAAGGGCTTGCATTTAATAAATTAGTCTATTTTCTCTCACTCAAGAATGAATGGTCTTTTTAATACTGCTGGTTCAGCAGTTATTGTATTTTACACTAAAGCTCAAAATAAGTAGCCTAAGGTTTCAACAGGTGTTAAAATTTAGTAATAATAATAAAAAAATATTTTAATTTACTGAGGTAGAACAATAGCCTACACTTTCTAACACTTTTTCAGGATACTCTACCATAACCTGGATGAATGAAAACATTCACAGGCGAACAATTCATCGATTTTTCCCCGCTGGGTTTGAATGAAAAACGGGCTGATGATCATTAGCTCTGTGTCACGTGAGTTTCTAATTTCAAATGACAGCAAAGAAAGAAGAGAAAAACTGCTCTTACCCTGTCAAAACTCTTTCCGTGCTCTGTCTGTCCGTGATGAGTGCGCTGGGGTCAGTTTGGTTGGCCTGTTTAAAAGATATGTAGTCCTGTTGCTCCTCAAGGTTGTGCAGAAGTGTTGAGCTCTCTCAAGAAAGCACCGAATGAGAGAATGCTCGCGCTCAACTCTTCCATACGCTACTATAGAGGAAGTTGTGTGAGTCACAAGCTCCCGCGGCCCGCCCCAGTGGATGAAAAACGGTCTTCCTTCTTTCCTGAAGGAAGTTCCATTAAATGGTCTTTAAATTGAGGCAGCTTGAATTGTTATCTGTCTGGAAGATTGTTGTTTGCCGGTAGCTTAGGACGCAAGAGAGACTCTGTCTGTAGGCTAACCATAGAAGCTCAAATACTTACCTGTAGCCACATCCAAATCTGAGAAGTACGAATCGGCATGACAATATACAACTTTTTTAATTATTTGTTTGGTCAAAACCAGACTAACCATTAGAATAGACAACAAGTATATTTTTTTCAAAAGGTTTAAAAAAAAAAAAAAAAAAAAAAAAACAGACTCATCATTTATTTGCTACTTTTCAAATGCCGTAGATTTTATTTTCACCATATTACATTTTTTGACAAAGAGAGAATTATGGCATATTTAAATATTTATTTATTTATTTATTACAAATTTGATTAAACAAGCTAGGAATAACTCCTTTATTAAATATTATAAAAATTATTATTGTAACATATTATATTATACAAAATATTTAAAATATCAGTTTCACACAATGCTGTTGAGAAGAACATTAGCTACTGTGTTTATTAATAAAATCTAAATGATTTTCCGAACTAATGACCATTAAAAAAAACTGATGCATGTAAGCAAGTCCACTGGAGTGGGCTATACCTCTTGTGCAAAATTAAAGAACACTTTTGTTACACTCCACAGTAATGGATAAACAGATTATTGCATATTTACAAGAGTTTGATATGGGAAAAACTTCAGGCACTTAAATGTTATTGTATTACAAAGTGGTAAATGTTGCTTCGATATCTGTTTTCACTATACACATATTTGTAATGTAATACTTGGATGAAGATACAAAATGAAGAACCTCTTTGAGTACCTTTGTCCTTGTAATAATTCAGGGAACTACAGAAAACACTGAGCAATTGTTGTGAATTAAATTATGAAATTCGTGTTTAGTCATATCAGAGATTATATTACCGAAACCCCAAATGAGTTATCTTGAGTTGACTTATTTGCTAACAATAAATAGACTCAGCCATTGCCTCTGACGGGTTTTTCGTTATCCTCTTGTATAATCTTACCAAAGAGATCATGTGTAATTGAAATTCATTCAATTACACCAGTGGCAAGAAAGTTCTTCTCTTTAACATATTACAATACTGTTTGATCCTCTGCATCAGAACTATAATGCCATTGAGGTTTTATTGCAACTCTTTTGATGGTTTAAAAGAAATGTTGATCAAATTACACCAAATTAAATCAAGTGTAAATAGTGTGAAATGCCTCCATTATACCCACTTAGGATAAAAGGTACAGCTCTTATCCCTGAAAAAAAAAAGGAGACAGTTGTGTCCTTGTCTTTAGATTTTTCTCATGTGTTTATGACCTTCAAATCTTTATTTTGACATTTTGTTCTGCCAGCTCAATCTGGATATTGTAAATAGTGGGATGACTGTTAATTGTCCCATATCCACACTTTAAAAGGTTTTGTGGTTGAATTTTGAGAGTGATAACCAAACATTCAATAGAACCCTCTTCCTGGAAGGATCTATTCAGACGAGCTGTTAAGATCCTTCGTAAAACCTGAAATTATAAGTTTTAAATCTCTTAAATGGTTTTCAAGGAATACTCCTCTAAAACATTTCCTGCTGTCACAGAACATGGAGTAAAACATAAATAAGATTTCCCACAATCAAGACTACCCATAACTGGAATCAAGCAGAAAAACATTAAAAAAACAAACAAACAAATAAAAACAAACAACTAACATGACCCTGAAAATGTAGATGAAATCTGAGTTATGAACAATGTAATTCAAATGAGAGCTCATCTTAATGTGTATAGCACAATCTCACCGTCTGTATAGAAACCTTACATTGGTTAGGAGAGACATTCCAAGTTCTTGAGCTCAGCTACTGGCCAGTAACCTTATGTCATTTGTGTGATTTTTAAAGGCCCATATTAAAAACCAAACAGTAATATATCTGTCAAGCAAGGGCATTCCAGAAACTCAGAGCTATCATAAACCTATAACCCCTTGTCCTGCCCATTTGACATTCTGCCCTCTCTTAAACACAGGTTTGAATACTAGTTGTTCCTTAAAGATTGTTGTTTTTGTTGAGAAACACATAGGCCTATAATCCAATTAAAATGCACAGGGAAATACTTTAAATCTCATGTTTTGGTTTAACATGCTATACTGTGGTTCAGTTTCTGTAGGAAAAGTCTGTTGGGTCACTTGGTTTTATATGTCTTCCATAAAGAAGTTGAAAGCCCACAAACCCTGGGTCAATCAAAGCTATGACATCATATGGAAAAAATAACCCCATGAAGGGTTTCATTCTCAACGAAAAAACGATGCATGTAATGCGCATCTCACACATTCGATTGGTTTTCAATCATGAAAGAGGAAATAAAGAACAAAATGTCATATGAGGTAATACATAGAATGTGTTTGTATTTCTTCCACGGTAAAAATTAGATGACTTCAGTGTTCCATGAGGTTCTTCATAATGAAACTTGTGCATTTCATTAAAGGTTAAGCTACTACTACTACAAAAACAAAACAAAAAAAAAACAAACAAAAAAAACAGTGGGAAAGGATTCACAGCACCAGAACATGATGTTATATTTCTGAGTAATGGCAGTGTTTTGGGCCAGAGGAAAATAGTTGTTATTTCAATTCTGTGCTTATATCCCATGCCCTGCATTTTTGACACAATATTCTGCACTCCCCCTTATTCTCAGAAGACAAGCCAACGATAAACTGGACCTTAGGAGGCGCACAGGTGTCGTCATCAGACCTCTGCTCTGACATTTGTCACACTAATGGCTGAAAGCTGTCTTTCTGGTTGAGATTCAATTAGGTGCCTGTACTAGGCCACTCTCTAAAAACCCTGTTTGAAACAGTAACCAAGTATTATTTGTTAGTGTTAACCAATCTCTTTGGCAGATAGAGGCTGTCATTATCATGACCAAAGAGAGTTAAAGTGTCAACACACTGGCCAGGATATATAAACTAAGTGTCTCAGCACCCAAGGTTTGTTATTGAGTTCTTCCATGTCGTGAGCCTGGATATCTTCCTCATACAGAACAGTAGACAACTTCTGTGATGGATATCACTTTAGATGGCCATATAAAGCTAATGTTGTGGTGTAAAGCACAATGTCAAAGATACAGCTTGTGACTCTAAGCAAAAGTGCAGTTTTTGGAGAAAGAGTGAGTGATTAGATTTCAAAACATAACATTTACTGGAGTCAAAACACTTTTCACTATGGAATTTTCCATTTTTAAAGAGCATATTGCAGGTAAAAAAAAAATCGAAATTTATAGATAACCTTGTATGAAAATACCATATGAAAAGTTAATGCAGGATTTAAAATGTTTTAAAACAACATAAGGACACTAATTTAGAAGATAAAGTGAGCGTTTCTTGGACTGCTAGTAAAAACGGCTTTTTTTTCAACGTCGCGTCATTTGACGTCATAGCAGGGAGCCGCAGCCTCGGCTCAGTGAGAGCAGGCTGGTGTTCAGTGAGAGCGCTCGTCAGTCAGTGTGCTTTCGTTAGTTTTTTCATTTTAATTTATCATCGTCATGGTAAATATTGTGTTTGTGGAGATTGCAAAAACTCCAGCCTGTCAGGACTTCAAGATCGAGTCCACAAGTTTCCATTACAATAAAAGTGACGGTGCTATATAGCCTATCTTTCGTTCCTGGTGCGGTTTGAGCAGGTGAAGAGACGGGATTTCTCCTCTCGGCTCGGAAAACACGGTCGTGTGTAGCGTTCACTTCAGATCAAATGATTAGCATCCCGGCAATATGATGGAGTTCAACATGGTATGCCGAAGCAAGAATATTGATCGTCGTATACTACCAATGGCATCAAATAGTGTTATATAGGTAACTTAGTCATGTCATGCCCTAAATAAAACTTGTAATTGAAAAACAAAATTGGTTGTTTAAATACTCAAACCTTTAATGTTCTGTTTATGTTATAACCAAGGTGAAAAATATGTATTAAAAATTTACCCGAGTATAGCCTATGCTTTTAGTATAGAAATATACTCAAGTAAAGTTTTTATACATTTAATAGTATATAAATCTACCCTAAACATACTAATGTCTGCTGGCCTGTTATAGGATCATAATAATCTGTACAATATTGTGAGCACAGTGTATATCGTTAGCGAACGTGTATACTATAAGTACGTCTCTCACCTAAAAGGCACCTGTCCTGTTCTCCACTGGCTCTCCTCACATCACAGCTCAATTTTTCTCTGACCATTCTGTCTGACATTATCCTGGCCTGTCCCTGATCTCTTTAGCATAGCAGGCTCATAACTTTATGGCTTGATCCGTCATACGAGTATTTCCTCAGCGTCCGAAATGTCATGCGATTCATTGTTTTCCTGTTGTGTGAATCGACCGCTCTCCCGCTCATTGCGTCACGCCCGCCACGCCCATTTTCAGACGCGGAAGTAAAATTTTCTCACAAAAACGACTGCAGAAGCTTCTGTGGCGTGTTTATACGTATATTTTAAAGAAAATCTAGTTCCTACATTGTTTTTCTATGCATTGACTCGTTGGGTCCTCTAACCTGCAATATGCCCTTTAAAGGTAGTTTTTGGATGAATCTGAGAATGGCGTGAACACAATGCCTGGATTATACTGCCATCTGCCGTCGACACTTAAAGCAACATTTTTTTAAGGCATACTCTTAAATTCTTGATTCATTTGAAGCGTTTACATTGTTAAATAATACCGAATAATAGCCTAGCCTAGTAGATTTTAATCAAAGATACGATTTATTAACAATTTTACTTTTTACGACAACAGAATAGCTTTAATGTAAACCATAATATTAAAATAATTATCAGTTTTTGACATTTTATACATTGTTCATATTCTGTATATTAGTTTAATTTTATTTAATATAATTGTTTTAGTTTTAAAAGAAA